GCTGAGATGAGGATGCGCAGACTGTGCTGTTGGAGCAGGTGGGTACCAATGTGGGTCACTTTGTCCCAGCACCACTATGCCCTCCGAGCCTTCATGGTCCAGAGCTGGGAGGCCTGGGAAGTGTTGGAAAGGCACGACTGGTGGCGATGGGGAGGGGGCATCCAGCTGCTGGGCATTTCTCCCATGTCTGCAGGTGTCCTGGGGTGATGGGAGGGGATGGGTGGACAGGTAAACCCTGCTGCTCATCCTGGCTGCCAGGGCTGTGGGCAGGGCAGTGCACACAAACTGTGCCCCACTGGCCACATGCTTCTGGCGTTAGCAAGTGGCCAGGGAGGAGAGGGCTGCAAACAGCTTCTTGCATCTCGCTGCCTGGCAATATTTGCCAGGGTGGCGGGATGACCATTATGTAAAGTAGATGGGACTTTTCCAGTCTGGGACAGATGTGTCCTTGCCCCCAGAGCCTGGCCAGGACACAGACTTGGCTGAGCTTGTGTGCCAGCTCCATGGCACTGGGCAGGGTGTTGTGTGTGTGTGTCCTCAGCCTCCTTTTGCAACCAACTCTGGCAAGACATTTGCCTGCAGAGTCAGGATCGGGCCCAGGGGGATTGATCTGCTTTAATGTGTGGCTGTAAGTGGATTTCTTGGAGAGTAATGCTTAAACAAAACGGGTTATACAATGTGTCTGGAGCAGGGGGTTGGGACGGCGGAGGCAGAAGGTCCTTTCTCCACCGGCGTTTCTATGACAGCAGTCAGCTCTCCTCCTGCGGCGCAGACGCTTATTCATCGCCTGCTGAGAGACAACTGCCAGAGGTTCAGGGTATGCCTGGAACCAAAGAGCCAAGCGGGCCGGCCGATCCTGGTGTTGGCAGCAGAAAGCAGGTCCCTTTATGAAACCTCCCGAGGTGTCTGTCTCATATCCCGTGCATCCGTCCCTCAACACAAACGCAAGTGCACGGTTCTCTGCTACTGTTTTCCTTATTGCCAGGTTTTTGTCTGATTGGGGTAGGTGATTATATATCTCTTTTAAAAAAGCCTCCGTTAGTATAAAGAGGAAACTTGCAAGCTCTGTCCTTGGTCTTCCCTGCACACCCCATTCCCTGAAGGACAGGGGAAGTCCAGCTTAGGGTGACGAGGAAATCGCAATCGCAGCCGCAGCTCCCGTAAACCTGCTCTTGCGGGTCAGGCTCAGCCACGTGGGTGGTGCTTTTGGGACGTGTCTTCCAGCTCCCACTGCCTGCAGATTGCTTCCAGGCTGCACAACTTCTTACGGGCTCCCCTTCACTTTCAAACATAACCACTGATAAATGTTTGACCCACGAGATTGGGGTTTTTTTGTGGTTCAGTGTCATGCTGTGGACCAGTTTGCAGTGTCCTGCCCAGTCCAGCCTGGAGAGCAGCTCTCTTTGCTTGGGAGAAAAAAGAAATTGTCAACTCTTTCTGTTTTTCTAAGTGAACAAAAAAAAAAAAGTGCTGTAATGTGTAACACGGGAGGCCTCCCGACA